GCTTTAAATAATGCCTCTTTAAAATTTATTTATTTATTCTTATGGAATATATAAATTCCAAATTTATATTTTCTATAAATAAATAAAAAAAATTGACATTTATAATTGAATTAAAGGGTGGGAGGCGGAGAAATTGACCTTTGACTAATAATTTTATAATTTTGGTATTTATGAAAATAATTATTCATAATTTTGTTGTCCACATCTTTAAGCACACACCATTATTGCCTAAAACCACTTTTAATGTGCTTAATCATTAATTAACTATTATTATTACTTTCCATTTAAAATTCCCATTTTTTTATTGGAATTATTTAAACCTAAATTCACCTAATTCCCTTATAAAAAATATTAATGTATTTTAGTTTATGATCTTAAAAAATATCATTTTAATTTTTATATTTATTTTAGTTTTAATAAATTTAAGTATGCTTGTTAAAAAAAAATAATTTTTAAAAGTTTATCCATAATTACAAAGTTCGAAATTAAAAAAAAAAATTAAATCCATATTAAAAATGAACTCAAATTACTAGTTTAATCTTTAAATTTTTAATTTTGTATTTTTCTTAATGTATTTAATAAATTAATTTTGATAATATATATATATATATATATATAATCTTTTTATTTTTTTTAATTTGTCACTCTACTAAACATAAATATATTTTTATTGAAAGCTTTAAAGATTATTAATTTTAAGCATAGGAAAATGTTTAAATAATTATACCACGTGGAGTGTTGATTTCTGATTTGACTTTACAGCATTGTTTCCTTTGTTCCTTTTTGTTAAACTCCATGTGCTAGATCAAGCGACGTCGTATTAGTCAACCAAATAAGTGGATTTAATTTTTTTTTTTTTTTTTAATTTTTCCGACATACATGATGAGGAAACACAAACGGTGTCGTTTACAGAGTTAATGCCGCCTATAATTGGCCAAAGCAGCCGTCGTGGTCGGCTGTCCGCATGAATTTAATTTTTGAAATTAATAGGTAAAAGCATAAATATGGGTTTTATTTTAATTTGAAAAATATTTTAATTAAACCCAATTTTTTTGTCTATAAAATGTATTAAAAAAATTATAATTTTTTATAACCAATTAAAGATATTAAGAATTATTAGATATATTTGTAATATTAATTAGATTTAAAATTAATTTTTTTGTGAGGGCAAAAAGGGATAGGTATAATAATGAGAGGCAAAAAGTGGATTTCTTTGAAGAGAAAGCCCAACCTATTGCACAAAAATGGGATGAGAATTTATTGAATAGTACACTAAAAAATAAAATTAATTAATTAATTCATTCATTCATTTAAATAAGTACCAAAATGCCCCATGTGTTGTGTTGCTTCAATTAAATTATTTTCCTCAACCTCCCAATAATTTTGTTTGTTTGTTTGTCTATCAATTAAATAAAAAAATAAATTTTAAAAAAAAAACCAATTTTGTGGGATTTTTATTTGTTAATCGTCAACAATTATAAATATATTGGGTTTTATATCATAAATATAATATAAAACCAAATATATTTTTGTTATTAAAAATAATAATAATAAAAAGGACAGCAAATTGGCTAAAAAGGTTTATGCAGATGAGCTAGATTGATTGCGACAATATATGACATTTTTAGTTAATGCATTGTGGTAGTTCAAAAGTAAGAGCAATAAATAAATAAATATATTATTTATATAAATTTAAAAATAAATAATAAATCATAGAACTTTCAATTGGATCGATTACCTCTCTAAATTTACAAAATCATTAAAATTAATCTGTAATCTCCTGTAATTTTCGTTTCAAAAATCAAAATTATATATATATTTTTTTATTACAAAATTTATAATTTTAAATTTGTATATAATAATAAAATGGGTAAAATTGCAGCAGTTCGAGAGTTTTTTTACGGTAACCGTCGTAATAGTTTTATATATGTGGTTTGTGCAATTTACAATGAAAGGCTTAATGGTAAAAATTTTGTAATTGATCAAATGAAAATTTTTAAGATAGGATTGTAACGGTCTAATTTACGAGTAGAGAAAGTTTAGACATATAGATTCAACAAAAAAGTCAAATATTTGATTCAGTTAACTCCGAAAAAAAAACAGTCGCAACTACCATTATATTGGAGAGACCACGACATGATACAAGACAAGGCAGCTGCAAAGCATACAAGGTTACAATCAACACTCACTTTCAAATGTTGTAGTGTTTATAATGGCCAATTATAGCCTTTGCCCTTTGTGCCTCTAGAGCCCCACAAACAAGCCATCCCATTTGGATGTGATGGAATTTTGTATATAAAAGCGTCTTTTCAAGACATAACAGTACAAATACGATTAAGCGTTCATCGACCGTTCCAACGCACCTTTGATCTATTTTGATTAAGACTGAAATCTATAAAAGACGGAGCGTAATTTAAACCGTCAAACAAATGAAAAAAATTAGGATGGAGTCTCTTTTAGTGAAGAGAGCCGTGAAATTACAGGAAGACGTGTTAAGCTAAGACGAGAGTATTTATTTTTTTCTCGATAATGTAGAGTTTGATTTGGTTCGGTTCGGTTTAATCCGGTTTATTTTTTTCTAAATAAATGAGCTGAAAGAAACATGGAAGTACACAACAAAATGAGAAATTAAGGCGTAAATGAGGGTTGGAAATGTCCCACATCGCCGCATTTATTGACAAACTTAGAAGAGAGCCTTCTGAATTGTGACTATAAAAAGCATTCAATGCTTCAACCTACCACATTTATGAAATCACTTCACCGTAAACCAATATTTTTTTTACCTTTTTACTTCCAAGATCAAATGGGGTAAAAACAATACTGTTTTAAATCCGACATTCTTCTGAAATTACTGCCTTGGATGTCGGCGGTGAATATTGACCGTGTCTGAGCCCAAAACTAGGCCCACGGATTTAATGAAAGGCCCAATGGATCGGTTCATATTGAGTTCGTGACTATTCTCGTTGTAAATGAATCGAGTCCGGGAATTGTTTGGGCTGTCGAATGGGCCCAAGCTCAAAACAGATGAATCTTATTGGGCCCTAATGGGCCGGCTCATGACCGTGAAATGGACTACCGCTAGAAAACTCTTATTGGGCCCTAATGTCCATCTTTTAAGTTCAACCAAACCCGATACGTAACCGCTCAAGCCTACCGCCAGTAGATATTGTCCGTTTTGACCCGTTACGTATCGTCATTGAGTCTCGCAGTTTAAAAACGTGCATGCTAGGGAGAGGTTTTCACACCCTTTAAAGGATTTGGGATCTACACTCCACCTCCCATGGGTCTCAGCATCCTCGTTAGCACACTATCCTATGTCTGACTCTCATATCATTTGTAACAGCTCAAGCTCACCGCTAGTAGATATTGTTCGCTTTAGCTCATTATGTATCGTCGACGAGTCTCACGATTTTAAAACACGTCTGCTATGAAAAGGTCTCCACGCCCTTATAAGAAATTTTTTCAACCGATGTGGGATCTCACATGATAGCTATAAAGATCGAACAACCGAATAATTTACGAAGGAAATATATTTAACAAATCACTTTATAAAAAAGTGATATCTTTCCATATAAGATATAACCATATAATAAACAATGAAAGTTTAAATAATTTATCACTGGACGCATGTTATGCATCTTCGAGCAATCATTATCATATCCTAAAGCCATTCACTAATTTCCAAACCAAAACATTTTTAATTTCATCAAATTTAAATAAATATTACAATATTAATTTTTAATTTCGATCGTATTATTCAATTTTTTAATTAAATTCTAAAGAACAAAGAAGGTTAATGTTTCGACTGTTTGTTTTACCGTTTGATGTCACGCAAATACGAACATTTTTAAAATTTTAAACTTTAAAATAAATTAATTAATATTGAAAAGTTGTATTTATAAGTGTAATTTTTTTTTAATTAAAAAATAAACAAAAAATCACTGAATTTAAAACTATACTTTGATTTTTTTTTTTTAATGTTGTGTTTGATGGAAATCCAGCTCATTTTTTTCTGAGAATGCCACGTGTAAATTTGCCAGTTCACGAACATATATGTTCCAAACACCTTTGCTTTGTTATTTTATTTATTTTTTACTATAATTTAATTCTCTGGATATAATATAATATAATATTATTATGGAGCTAGCTGTTTCCTCGTCTCTCACGCTGTCCCCAACCTCCGATTATGACCCTTCTTCACAAAGCTTCTATCTATCTTACCAAACCAAACTAAAAAAATATTTATAAAATTAAATTAATAAAAATAATCATTAATTTAACATAAAAATCTTTATTTAAAAAAATATAATTCTAACTTTTAAAAGTTACAGTTTTAATGTTATTGTTATCTGTATAATTAAATTTAACTGTTAATATCTGATTTCGAAAGAATTCCATTGCCTTAACGTTCGACTCTGGTTAGTAATATTTGCAATAAGATCTTGCACTAATGTAGTACTCGATTTGAGACACTTCAAACCCTAAATTACGAGGGAGTTCTAACCAATGGTAGGAGCAAGACTCGAGACGAGATTTTATTACATACGCTCGTTGAGGAGCGATTCTTTTTTTAGCTCTGTGGAAGGATGTTTCTATGCTTTTTATGAGAGAGCACGTGCTAGAGTTTCCTTACCAACCCTGTAAGTTCGTACCCAATCACAAGTCCAGTACCCTTTCAAGAAGGCTCGTATTAGGTTAGAAACGGTAATACTTCAAGTACATTGTTGACCGATATTGTATAATTTAGTTTGTTTCATATTGTTATGAGTCTCACAGTTTTGAAACTCGTTTATTCGGAAGAAGTTTACACACGCTTATAACGAATATTTTGATCTCCTGTCTAGGAAAGTACCGGAAAGTTAGGGTAAATTAAAAAAATTAAAATAATAAAAATCCAACTTTTTTTTATGGGGGATTTTAATGGTAAGACAGAGAAGCAATTGTCTCACTCACCTGTCATCTTCTATTACATCACCCACCAACCCACTTCTTCCACCTCCCCATCCAGCAAATTAGAGTTTGCACCTGTCGGATTTTCTCTCTCCTTTCTCTCAACCTATCAAAATTATAACAGCCATCACCAACGGCTTCAACCCCCTGCCAGTGGCATCATTTTTCTTGCTACTTTCTTCTTCTTCATCCACTCCAACCCCAAAAATGCAGCTCGGTCGAAGAACGTATTCAAACCCGAGAGCTTTTTAGAGCCTCTCGATACATATATATCTATATCTATATCTATATCTATATCTATATTTCATGCAGAAGAAGCTTCGTGTTATCGACCATGGCGTACCCACATTACCGATCCCAATTCGGAGATACCACTTTCACTAAAGTGTTCGTCGGTGGGCTAGCTTGGGAGACGCCCACCGACGAAATGAGGAGATATTTTGAGCAATTCGGCGACATTCTTGAAGCTGTGATTATCACCGATAAGAACACCTCCAAATCCAAAGGATACGGCTTTGTAAGTTAGCCTCGTAGTTATTTAAGTTTTTGAGTTTCGTGGTGATTCATATCATTATTCAGGTCACGTTTCGAGACGCTGAATCTGCGAGAAGGGCTTGTGCTAATCCAAACCCAATGATCGATGGGAGACGAGCTAATTGTAACATTGCTGCAATGGGTCGGCCTCGGCCTTCGCCTCCACGAGGTCGGTATTATAGTTTATCTCTATCACTTTTACCACGATGGTTGTTTATTCAAATTTTTGTTTTGGTATTCAGGACGAGGGCAGGGTGGCGTAAACCCCTATCAAGGAAGTACAATGCAGGCAGCACCATCTTATAGTGGAGTCCCGCCGCCGTTAAACCAGCCACCGCTTCCTCCGCCGCCGCCCCCTGTCGTTTATTCACCATACGGGTCAGTCAAGTTATTATCGAATTAGAAAGTTGGGTAGAAATCATGAAGGTTAAATTGAAATCAAGGATTAAACTAAATCAAATAGGCGATTATTGAACCGTTAAACAAAAGATTAAACGGGTTTAGAAATTGGGTATGAACGGAAACATATGGACCCACTGTTTACTTGTCTAAAGTGTCAACCTCCACATATCTGTATAATAGTATGATATTGTTCACTTTAAACAAAAACGCTCACTCAATTATAAGTTATGTATCGCTCGATTTTCTACGTGGGTCTAGATTGATCAGCCGTTTCATTTGCAAAGAAAGAAAGGACAGTCACAATGGGTCAAAACCATGTCTGTGAGATCCCACAACGAAACAAATCTGTTACTAGGCGACGTGTTTTAAAAACCTTTTTAAAGGGTATTAAAACATCTGGTAGCGGTGGGTTTAGGCCGTTATAGTGGAGCCAGCGAACTCCGCCCCACCGACCAATAGACAAACCCAAAACCAATACAACTGTAACACCAATCAATGTGTTTACAACTGTCCCAAAAACAAAACTGAGTCCCATTTGAGCTAAGGTTCTTCATAAAAAGAATAGAAATAGTGCAACAATATTTTCCACTAAGCAATTAATTCCCATCCCAACCCACTTGGTTCTTTTTCTTGGCTTTGCAGATACCCAACATACACTACTGATTATGGCTACCACCACCAGCACTACCAGCACCACCAAGTGAGCCAGCCTCCATTTCTCTTAAAATTATGCATTATTTTTCATTGCGGCATTTACTCAAACACTTGGCGTGCATGCGCATCAAAAGTCACCATAAACCCTAACTAACTTATAAAAAGCATTGAATTTTAGCAACCAGTGTACAACCCATATTTCTATGGCTATTCATTACAATCCCCCAGAGGAGCATTTCCCAGTCCTTCACAGTCGCATCAGCCCCGTGTAGCGGTTCCTCCTTATGTGTACTATCCTCCTCCCGCCGCCGCCGCCGCCGCCGCTCAGTTTGAAGGCTCGTTCAGCTATCCTCCTCCTCCTCTGATACGACACCGTTTTGCCTCCACAGGTACGAATTTCTACCTCTTTTTATAATTTTTGGAATTATATATGAACAATAAAAAAGACATCTGACAGGAACAGACAAACAGATAAATAGATTATTATTTATTATTATTAATATAAGGTAAAATAAATAAATAAATAAATAAAAATGGGGGCCATGTGGGTAAAGAGCTAAAGCCATGTGAGTGAGCTGTCTGGGCCAATGCAATTGTTGAAAGGAAATTGATGACAGAGTAGCATTTCATTATATAGACAGCTACTGCATTCCCCATGTGTGGTTCAGTTTCCAACCTATTACTATTATCAACCCCTTTCTCCAGGTATCCCGTTTCGATGTGATTGATAGTTTTGTATTTAGATGATTCTTAGAAGTCACCCGACACGACCCCTCTTAGCCAATGTTCGAATTGGCTGATGATAAACTTACACGAGATCTATGTCATGAATGTAAGTGCAAGATTTCGCTGAAACACTCTCTCTAATAGATGTGTTTTAAAAACCGTGAGACTGACGGTGATATGTAACGAGTCAAAACGGACGATATTTGCTAATGGTAGGCTTGAACGGTTACAAATGGTATTAGGGTTAGACACTGAACGTTGGCCCCTAAGAAGGTGGATTGTGAGATCCGCTATCAGTTGACGACTATACATTCAAGCCAAAATCAACAATATCAACTAACGACGAGATATAGCTATTACAGTAAGGTTCGGTAAAAATAAAAATTTATTATTGATTTCCATTTCGGTAGCTGTGTCCAGTTGTCTTTCAAAATGGACCACTTCCAAATTCCAAGCTTCCAACCGTTTTCTTTTTGGGTCTCGTTGGGTTGTAAAAAAATTTAAGAATCTCATCTAGAAGCGTATACGGGTTTATAGTTGGAATTTTTCCGACTAACCCGATATTTGAGATTGGTTGGTCAGCTGGTCTCAACCTGACATAGTTCACAACCCAATCAAAAACACCCAACTTTCTATTTTAGTTGGTCGGGTTGATCTGACCAAAAAAAATTTCGACCCACGAACTAAACCTACAAAAACGTTACCTAACCCTCAATTTTTATAATTTTAGTTGAGTAGTTCAAGTTGTTCGAGTTTTATCGTTAATAAATTACAATAATTAAATTACGTTAATATTAATTTGTATTAACGATGGGTTTCAGATTCACAGACATCTCAGCAAACTCCTCCAGAAGCTGAAGCTGAAGCTGTTACCTCTGAAACTTCAACCACCTGAGAGAACGAATTCACAAAAACCAAACCAAACCAAATCGAACCGAACCGAATTATTGGTTCAATTTCTCATGCCAAAAAAAAAAAAACCCAAAAAAAAAGGTGGAGATAGAAAATTGTATAAAGTTGACTACTTGATCGATTTGACCGTCTTTTTCACCCATTTTCCACTTTTTTTTTTATAATTATTATTATTTATTCCATATTAATTTTGATGGATTTTTTCATCGGCTTAATTATACTCGAGTTAAGATTTTAATTTTTGTTATAATTTAACGTATCAGACTGAAGATTTGAACCTTTGATTTTTTAGTCGAAAATATATGCTAAAATTAATTAAATAATTCAGAAATTTTAATAGAGTATCGAAAATTAATTAAATACGTAATTTTTTTATTTAATTAAAAAATATAATAAAATGTCTTTAATTTTATACGAAAATTATTAATGGCATATATTGATATAATATATCAAGAGTGAGTTACAAGCTGTTGGAGAAACTATGGATGGAGAATGCATAATGAGGGGTAAAAGCGTCAATATACTTTATCAATGCATGAGCGGCCCATGTTGGGACGTTTTCCCTTATGGCCCAAGCCCAACTATTTTTAATTAAAAACAAATATGAAAAAGAATAAAAATAAATAAATAAATTGTCCTTAAAATTTTAAAAAAAATTTATGGTTACTTTTAATTTTTTGAAAAAAAAAAAATACGGTTGTCGCTCTTAAAATATGTTAAAAAAATTAATAAATAATATATGAAGTGTCAATAGACAGTTTTTTATAATTTTTTTTAACAATAATAACTTGTGTTAATGTTACTCTTAGGATGTTTTTAAATTTTTATTTGTGATTAGTTTGGTAGTATGTAATAAATATTAAAGTTTGTAAAAGTAGAACGAGAACCAGAAATATAAATTTAAATCAATTGATTATTATAATCTCGAAATGACAAGATGACTATAAATAAACAACAGGACCGGGAGGGTTGGTTTGAGGTAAGGGTAGACGAGGAATATAATCTTAAATCTCGTCCGACTATTGGAGAAATATCTATAGGATGTTTCCCTAGTTTATTGGTATTCATTGATCCTCGAGTGATCAAATGAACATCTCTAGCTGATATTGGTCGTTATGTACTCATATTTGGATCAAGGAGATTGAAGAAGCACTTCACGGATCAAATTATTGAGATTCCGGAAAGACGAACCGGTGTCGGGCGCCGCCGCCTCCGCCACGAGTTTCTTCCATTCCCCAGCTCTCTTCCTCATTTCTTTCCCTCCATGTCCCTCCATCAACTCCTTCACTTGCTCTTGAATATCTTCTCGTTTAACATTGGTGTCAATCTCCATTCCAATTCCCCACTCCGTGCAGCAATACCTGCAATTGGTTTGCTGCTCGGCGAAGAACGGCCAACAAAGCATCGGAACTCCGCTCACTATGCTTTCCAACGTCGAATTCCATCCACTGTGCGTTAGAAACCCGCCGACTGCCGGGTGGTTTAGAACCTCCTCTTGTGGACACCAGTTCGTCAACATCCCTCTTTCCTTAGTCGCCTCCACGAACTCCGGTGGTAGCACCGCCGTCTCTCCCGCCACTAGATCCGGCCTAATGATCCATAAAAACATTTGCTCGCTGTTTGCCAGCCCCCAAGCGAATTCTTTCAGCTGATCTTCCGTCATCACCGTGATGCTGCCTGTTCCCAATATAAACAAATTATGTCACTTAAGGTTGTTGGGAGAGAGTCTCACATTCGCAGATCTATGAGTATCTGCTATCGTAAATGGTTCGTGATTTCTAACATGCTACGAGAGTCATGCTCAATCCTCAAATGTCGAACAATGGGTGTGTTAGATGAACACGACTCTCTACAATAGTTGATATTGTCTACTTTGAACATAAGCTCTTATAGCTTTGCTTTGGGCTTTCCCAAAAGGCCTCGTAACAATGAAAATGGTATTCTTTGACTATAAACCTATGATCATTTCCTAAATTAGTTCACGTAGGACTTTCATCATCCAACAGGGTGTACTTTGTTCGAGGACTCCAGAGAAAGAGCCTCAATTAAGTCAAAACTATTCGAGGGTTCCATAGATCTCAGAGGAGGCTCTATAGTGTCTTTGAAACAAATTGTGTAATTTGTTCGAGCATTCGAAAAAAAGAGTCGAGTCTTAATTAAAGGGAGACTGTTCAAGGGTTCCTAAGCCTCGAGGAAGGATTGTTGGGAGAGGTCTTTTGGAGAAACAAAAAAACAAAGCCTATAATGGACAATATCATACCATTGTGGAAGTTCGTAATTTGTAACAGAATAATAGAAACCTTAAATTGAATCGGTTAAGAGATGGTACCAAAATTGACGTAAACGACCGAGTTGGGCGACTTCTGATCGAGCCATTCAAGGCAGGCTCGGTCCTCCTTCCACAAGTTGGAGCCAAGGGCCATCAAATCGGAGCGAGAATCAGGAACCAGGTGTTGCAAGAGCAGCTGAAGAGGGCCGATGGAGAAGACGGGCGGCATGAGAGAGGAGATGGCGTTCAAAGCTGGTTGTTCCAGTGAAGCCATTGTGTTCAAAACAATGGCGGAAGCTCTTTCAGCTCTTTTTGTTTCAGATAATAAGAAATCAACCATTCCATCTTCTGGGTCCGTTGTTCTTACGAAACTTGGCATGTCCTTCAAACGAATGCCTTCCATTCCTGGAATCCAATCTATTTGCGTCTCCAAATATCCGTTGCTTAAATCCTTTTCATCTGCACCAAACACAAACGAGTTCAAATCTCGACTCGTTTTTGAGCTACGATAACTAGAAATTCTCGTTTAATCTATGGAGATGAGAATTTCGGTGAATTCCCATTTTAAACGGAGAAATAAGGATGGAATGGAAAGGAATTTTTCCTCGGTAGCTAAATAAGCTAGGATAGGGACGAGAATATATTTTTGTCCCTGACTCTGTCTAAATCTTCAATGACAAGATCTCACATCCGTTACAGAGGAAACGAAAGTCTTTATAAGGGTCCCTAATAATAGAGTTTTAAAATCATAAGACTAAGGATAATAAGTAACAATAATAGAGTTTTAAAATCGTAAGACTAATGATAATAGGTAACAGGCAAAAGCAGACAATATCTTGTGGGTTTAAGCTGTTACAAATAGTATCAGAGATTCAGAGCCAGATATCAGGCAGTGTGCTAGTGAGAACGTTGGTCCCCGATTATAGAGGACACTGAGCCCCGATTGGAGTGAATTGTCAGACCATACCGCACATTGGTTGTAGACGAGAATAAAACATTTTTATAAGGGTGTAGAACTTCTTACTTACGAACCGTTTTCAAAACGCTGAGGTGAAGTACAAAATGAAAAACCCAAAAAAGACAATATCAACTAGCTGTAAGCTTAGAACTTAGAGATCCTGCCTGTCTCAGTTGAATCTAAGACTAAAAAATTATTTATTTATTTAGTAAATAAATATATTTTTTTAAAATAGAAAGGTGAGATTATATTATATTTTTTAAATAAAACTTATTAGGATTATTACCATTTTTATAATTTTAATGAAAATTATATTAAAAAAAAATGAAAATTTTCTATTAAAAATAAATAAAAAATTCTAAGAGGATAAGAATTGAAATCGCTTTATTTTTTTATTTTTAGAAATTGAATTTATTATTTTTCAATTCATCAAATTATTATTATTTAATTAAAAGATTAAGGCGAGAGCGTTGAATAATTAAAGTCAAACCTTTCAACGGAGTATAGCCACGGTCAACAAGTTGTCGATAGTACAAGTAAGCCAAGAACCCACAAGCACTAGTAGTCCAAAACAGAATTTCCGGAACTCCAAGCTCCTCCGCCGCATCAATCGTGAAGCTCATAACGCCATCCGACACAATACAACTCACCGGCGGAACATCAGGAGTAGAATTAACCTTATGCAGCAATTCCTTAAACGGCTGCAAACACAGCCGCCGTGTGGATTGACACAACGATGGAATATCCTGAGTAGCATCGACATCCGTCGGAGGTAGACCGTCAGGGATCGACTCGAATCGAAACGACGAAAGCCCATCGAGCGCTGCAGGGCCTCGAGACTTAAGGAGACGACGGTGGTTGAAATCGGTGTTGACGAAGGTGATATGGAAGCCATGGTAATGGAGAAGCTTGGCTAGCTTCAACATGGGCGTGATATGGCCTTGTGCTGGATATGGTATGCACACGGCATGGGGCTTGTCGGAGTTGGAAATGGTACCCATTGGGAGAGCTTTTTTGAGCGGTGTGGATAAATGGGAGACTTTCAAGTGCTTTTATAGAGCTTATGGGCTGACTTTGGCCTAGTTGAATTTTGGTCAATATTTATGGCTCAACAGAGAAATTGATAGCTATAAACTCGGAGTCCCTTCTTTTGTGTATGGACACAACTTTATTTGTGGAGGTTAGGTGGACAGAGATCGGCCGAGAAATTATTGGACGAGACCATCCGGTTCGGTTCGTTGTACGAGAGATAAACCACAAACCCATTTAAAATTTTGTATATGAGTACACAGTTAAAAATTTTAGGTACAAGCATCCTTTTCCATAAAGTTGTTTGAGATTTTCCTAAGAGTACAACATAGGTTACCTGAGGTCTCGAGCATTGTAGCGTGTGATATTCATACAATTTCTCAAGGTACTTTCTCTGCCCTAATTATTATCATGAAAATGTCACGGCACCATACACCGTTTAACTGATAACCATCTTTTAACTAACCCATCGTTCACAGTTTTCCCGGACCTAAGTAGCATAAGAATATTTGGTATTTAATTACCAAACCATATAAAACAAAAACAAAAACTAAAATTAAGCAACCTTTATGAGATATGAATGACACCAATATAATAACACAAATTTAAAATTTATTTAAACAAGACTGTGACCACGTGTCGCCTAGTTATTGGATGATCCAATAAAATTTAAATATAAAATTATAATACTGAAATAGAGTGCTTACGAAAAACTTTCTAACTGGTTTTAAATAACTTACTAAAATATATTTTTTATGATAACTATTTATCATAAAATCCACGTGTTTTGGAAAGTGGTGTTTTTTCTTGCTATATATTAAAATTCATAAAAATATATTATAGTCCATATTAAAAAAAAAAACATTTTTATATAATTTTAAA